GGCCGGGTTCAGTTTTGGGAGTTACCCCATAATCTGGATCCGTCAGAGACCAGGGCAGGGGCTGGAGTGGGTCGCGGGTATCAGGAACGATGGTACTTACACCTACTACGCGGCATCGTTCAAGGACCGGTTCACGATCTCCTGGGACAACGGCAGAGCTCGGTGGTGCTGACCATGAACAACCTGAAGGACGAGGATTCCGGATCCTATTTCTGTTCCAAATCTGCTGCTGAGGGCAATTGGGGCGATGCTGCTGCATATGCTGATGACACCAGTTGTGGATCCACCCTCGTCTCCATGTCTCCCCCTGTCCCCAATCCCAGACCCTTCGCCCAAACCTCACCCATTGACCCAGCCCTTGACCCTTTGTCCCAAAGCTCCCCCATTTACCCCAATGGTCAGCACTGACCCCAAACCCTCCCCTGCTCCTGCCCCAAATCTCAACCATTGCCCCCAAACATTTTCCCGGGGGCTCCAGTTCAGGCCTCCTCCAATCAGGGCCCGGGAACTGGGGGAGATTTGGGTGAAATGGGCAAAACTGGGGGAAAGTCGAAAGTTGGGGCAAAGATGGGGAATGCTCAGGGAGAAGGTCAAGAATGGTGTCAAGTATTGGGATTTGGGGAAGGATTTGGGGATTTTGGGACATTTGGGGAGCCAGGGATGGGGGATTGGGGCCACCACCTGCATCGTCGCCATGTGCAGAGCTCACAGAGAGGATTCCAGCCCAGCCCAAGGAGCAGCCCCAGACACCGAGGCCGCTGAGGGAGAAGTGAAGCCCCAGGTGGGAGGGAGGGAGGGAGGGAGGGAGGAGAAGACGCCGCGATTTTTGGGCTCCACAGTCTCCCCCCACTTCCTCCCCAGCAGCTGCCGGGGCCCGGCCGGGGCAGGAAAGGAAACAGAAAGTTCCTGGTTTTGGTCATTGTGAACATCTGTGTTTGGCAGAGGGCAGCTCAGCCTTGGGGCGCTGCGGCAGAGCGCCGGCTGCACAAAAAGCTTTGTGTGCAAAGGGTCCTGGAGCGATCCCCATGCCACACTGGGACGGAGGGGAAGGGCCAGACTGGGGAGAAAGGGGCAAAGTTGGGGAAAACTGGGAATTGGGAAAGTGACAGTGGAGTTTGGGGGGAAATGGTGAAGATTTGTGTAAAAGGGGTACGCGCCATCGGTCAAGGGTCGGTTCTGGATCTCCAAGGACAATGGGCAGAGCTTGGTGACGCTGACCATGAACAACCTCAAGGACGAGGATTCCGGATCCTATTTCTGTGCCAAGGATGCTGATGGTTACGGTGCTGCTCCTAATGCTGGTTGGGGATGGGGCCATGGTCGGCACTCTCAATATAACCAGCAGCATAAGCGCAACCGGTACCAGGAGATTTTCCACAGAAACAGGATCCGGAGGGGCCAGGAGCTGAGATTTGGGGCGAGAGCAGGGCAGGGTTGGGATGCAGGGTCAGGAGTGGAGTCTGGGGTTGGAGGGAATGATCTGGGGCACCGGAACAGGGGTAAGGACACCATCACCAACATCAGCAGCAGAAGCAGCACAACAACGGTAAGCACCCTTGGCGCAGAAATAGGATCCGGAATCCTCGTCCTTGAGGTTGTTCATGGTCAGCGTCACCGAGCTTTGCCCGGTGTCCCTGGAGATCCTGAACCGGCCCTTTGACCGATGGCGAGTAGCCAATGCTGGCACCGTTGATGCTGATCCCTGCCATGAATTCCAGCCCCTTCCCAGGTATTTGACGCATCCAGCCCATGTTGAACCTGCCGAAACTGAACCTGGACCCTCGGCAGAGGAGGCGCAGGGACCCCCCCCCGGGGGCTGGAGGTCCCCCCCGCACTCCAGCAGGGTCACGGCCGCCTGGAGCCCTGTGGGAAAGAGGGGAGATGGGGATGAGGCCAAAGGTCAACCCTTGACCCAAATCCTGACTCTGGGCCCCAAATTGTGACCCTTGGAGTTCATCATCCTCCTCCCAGGTGGGTCCCGCCCCTTTTTCCACCTGACTAAGCCCACTCTTAGGCCCTGAAACAATCAGGTTTCTCATCCCCATCTCCCCTTTTTCCTGCAGGTCTCTGGGCGGCCGTGACCCTGCTGGAGTGCGGGGGGGACCTCCAGCCCCCCGGGCGGTCCCTGCGCCTCCTCTGCCGAGGGTCCTGGTTCAGTTTTGGCGATTATGGAATGTTCTGGATCTGCTAGAGACCCGGGAAGGGGCTGGAATGCGTCGCAGGGATCTGGAGCAGTGGTTCCAACACCGGCTACGCGCCATCGGTCCAGGGCCGGTTCAGGATCTCCAGGGACAACGGGCAGAGCTCGGTGACGCTGACCATGAACAACCTCAAGGACGAGGATTCAGGATCCTATTTCTGTGCCCAATGTTCCGGCAGTAGTTGTGATTATGATGCTGCTGCTTTTGGTGACCATGGTGATGGTGGCTGTGGTCCAAGGCCCTCTCCTCTCTGTGCCCAAGTATCACAGAATTCTCTGATCCCTCCCCAAATCCCAGCCCTTTTCACTAAATCTCTGTCATTTTCCCCCAAATTCTGCCATTGCTGCCCCAACTCTGCACTTCCCCCCCAGTTTTATCATTTTTCCCCAATCTCAGCCTTCTCATCCTCACCCCTAGACGGTTTGCCCAGAACCATGCCCCAGTCAAACACCAAGCACTGAGCCAAAACCCTCAAATTGGTTCTGCCCCAAGCCCTCCTGCTTTGACCCCAAACCTCGCCCGATTCTGCCCCAAATCCCCACTCTGGGCTCCCAGCAGCTGCTGACCCAAACCTCACCCACTGTCCCCAAATCTCAGCCCTTTGGGCACTTTTGGGGGTCGAGGTGGAGATTTGGGGCCGAGAGTTGAGTTTGGGGCAAGACCCAGGGCAGGGTTTGGGGCCAATGGGCAACGTTGGGGCAAAGGGGGCGGGGCTGGGACAAAGGGTCAGGGGTGGGTAAGGGGGGGTTGGGGAATGGTCTGGGGACAGCTGGGGACAGGGACGGGGCTGAAAACCCAAATACCAACCCAACCACCAGGAGTGAAACCAATGGCATGGGCAGCATTCCAGCCACCATGGGAATCCTTGGCACAGAAATAGGTGGCGGAATCCTCGTCCTTGAGGTTGGTCATGGTCAGCGTCACCGAGCTCTTCCCGTTGTCCCTGGAGATTGTGAACCGGCCCTGCACTGAATCTCCATAGTGGGTGGTGCCAGCAGTGTTGATCTGTGCTACGAACTCCAGCCCCTGCCTGGGTCTCTGGCGTGCCCAGCCCATCCCAAAACTCTCAAAATCGAACCCGGACCCTCGGCAGAGGAGGCGCAGGGACCCCCCGGGGGGCTGGAGGTCCCCCCCGCACTCCAGCAGGGTCACAGCCGCCCGGAGCTTAGCTGGACAAACGGGAGATTGGGATGAGGCAATGCAAAAGTCAGGCAGAGCTGTCCAATTGGGGCTGGATTGGGGCTAATTGCAGGGTTTAAGGAACTTTACAATACTGGAAATCTCTGTTGGAGATTTGGGACTAAACCAGGGGAGTTTAGGGGAAAGCCAGTGAAGGTCTGGGGATGCGGGAGCGGCCGTGACCCTGCTGGAGTCCTGAGGGGATCTCCAGCCCCCCGGGGAATCCCTGCGCCTCCTCTGCCGAGGGTCCGGCTTCGATTTCAGCAGCCATGCCATGTATTGGGTCCGCCAGAGACCCGGGCAGGGGCTGGAACACATTGCAGATATCAGCAGGGATTCCAGAGCCTACTATGCACCGTCGGTCAAGGGCCGGTTCAAGATCTCCAGGGACAACAGGCAGAGCTCGGTGACGCTGGCCATGAACCACCTCAAGGACGAGGATTCCAGATCCTATTTCTGTGCCAGGGCTTTTTGTGCTGGTTGTTGGGCTGTTGCTAATCATGGTGACAATGCTGTTGATAGCGTCAAACTTCCAGTTTTTGCTCCTGTCCTACCATTGCATCTCCAAATTTTCGATTTTCATCCCAAACCTCACCTCTTGTCTCAGATCTTGACCCTTTATCCCTATTTCCTTTAATGGTCAGCACTGACTCCAAACCCTAGCCTGTTTCTGCCCTAAAACTCAACCATTGGCCCCAAACCTTCACCCTGACCCTTTGTCCCAGCCCCGCCCCCTTTGCCCCAACACTGCCTAATTGGCCAAAAACCCTTCCCTGGGTCTGGCCCCAAACTCAACTCTTGGCCCCAAATCTCATCCTCGTGCCCCAAATGTGCCCAAAGGGTCGAGATTTGGGGTGAAATTGGGCAAATTTTGGCACCAACTCAGATGGGTTTGATGCCAAACCAGTCAGGGTTTGGGGCCTTTGGGCACCATGGGTGGCAATGGGGGAGACTGGAAAAACTGTCAAGAATGGGGTCAAGGGCTGAGATTTGGGAGAAGGACCTGGGGTTGAGGACAGAAGGGGATACTGAGATGGGAATGGATCCACCACAGACGTCTTCATATTTAGCACCAGGACTGCAATCATCACCAGCAGATTTGGCACAGAAATAGGATCCGGAATCGTCGTCCTTGAGATGGTTCATGGTCAGCGTCACCGAGCTCTGCCCGTTGTTCCAGGAGATCGTGAACTGGCCCTTGACCGATGGCGCCTAGTAGGTGCTGCCACTGCTGTGGATCGCTGTGAGCCACTCCAGCCCCTGCCCCGGTCTCTGACGCACCCAGACCTTCGCAACACTCCCTAAACTGAACCCGGACCCTCGGCAGAGGAGGCCCAGGGACCCCCTGGGGGGCTGGAGGTCCCTCCCGCACTCCAGCAGGGTCACGGCCGCCCGGAGCCCTGCGGGACAAAGGGGAGATGGGGATGAGGCCAAAGCTACACTCTTGACCCAAATCCTGACAATTGGCCCAAAATTTTGACAGTTCTGCCACCACATCCTCATCCTGGCTGCCGTCTCACGCGAGTCCTGCCCCTTTTTTCTGCAAGCCATGCCCCTTTTCTCGATCTGGACCAATCAGATTTGTCGTTTCCATCATCTCCCCTTTGTCCCGCAGGGCTCCGGGCGGCCGTGACCCTGCTGGAGTGCGGGGGGGACCTCCAGCCCCCCGGGGGTTTCCTGCGCCTCCTCTGCCGAGGGTCCGGGTTCAGTTTTGGGAGCTACGATATGGACTGGGTGCGCCAGAGACCCGGGCAGGGTCTGGAGTGGCTCGCAGGGATCAACACTGGTGGCAGCGCCTGGTACGCGCCGTCGGTCAAGGGTCGGTTCACGATCTCCAGGGACAACGGGCAGAGCTCGGTGACGCTGACCATGAACAACCTCAAGGATGAGGATTCCGGATCCTATTTCTGCGGGAAATCTGCCTATAACAATTGGGGTACTGGTGCTGGTGTGGATGGTTTTGGTCCGGACCCTGTGGCCGTGTCCCGACCGGCTCCCAAATCCAAGACCCTTCCCTAAAACCCAAACACTTTTGCACATTCCTGACTCTGTCCCAACCCTAGAGCGGTTCCTCCCCAAATTCTCCATACCTGGCAAGAAAGTTGACCCAAGTCTTAACCTTGGCCTCAAATCTCCACTTTTAATTCAAAGACTTGGGCACAAAGAGGAGATTTGGGGTCAGGAGTTGTGGTTTGGGGTCAGCGGGTGAGAATTGGGGCGGAGGCAGAGCAAGGTTGGGATCATTGGTCAAGGGCTGGGTGAGGGCTGGGGGTTTGGGTGAAGGGTCTGGGTAACGGGGACAGGGGGGGGATAAGGGGATGGGGGGCACAGTCAAATCTATAAACAACACCAGCAGGATCATACCAAACATTAACAGATTTGGCACAGAAATAGGTGGCAGAATCCTCGTCCTTGAGGTTGTTCATGGTCAGCGTCACCGAGCTCTGCCCATTGTCCCTGGAGATCCTGAACCGGCCCTTGACTGAGGGTGCGTAGCCGGTGCTGGAACCATCGCTCTTAATCTCCTCGATCCACTCCATCACCTGCCCGGCTCTCTGGCAGACCCACTGCATCCCAAAATTCCCAAAACTGAACCTGGACCCCCGGCAGAGGAGGAGCAGGGACCCCCCGGGGGGCTGGAGGTGCCCCTCGGACTCCAGTAGGGTCGCGGCATCTGACTCCAGGAGTCAGAATGCTGAACAATTGCTCTATTGAATCTCTACTATATGACATTGTGATTACATTTTAATACATTATTGTAATATTATATCTCATAATTAATATATTACATCTCATTAATAATATATTATATCTCATTAATAATATATTATTTCTCATTAATTCTGTATTGTAACTCATTAATACTACATTATATCTCATTAATACTATATTACATCTCTTTAATACTATATTACATCTCGTTAATGGTATATTACATCTCATTAATGCTATATTATACCTCATTAATTCTATATAACATCTCATTAATGCTATATATATATCTCATTAATACTATATTATATCTCATTAATGCTATATTACATCTATACTAAAGAGATACTAGAAGAATTCCTTTCAAAAGACACGAAAAAATCCTAAAGAATCTCCATGAGAGTCTGACAGAGCCAGGTCACGGCTTGGAGCCCATTGGCCAAGGAAACAAAACAATCTGCAGCAGAACCCAAATGATGAATCCCTGGAGGGGAACAATCCCCCTGACACTTTCCACACACGCAGAAACAGCAGGAGCAGCGAGGAGAGATGGGAATTGTTTCCTCTTCATCTTCTCTCTGTGCTGCTCCAGGAAAAATCCTGTGACAGAAAGAGAGAGACAGAGAGAGAGAGGGAGAGGGAGAGAGAGACAGAGAGAGAGAGGGAAAGGTGTCTGACTTCGTGCTGGGAATGAGAATGGCACAGCTGGGCCTGGTGCCCATCTCCCCTTTGTCCCGCGGGGCTCCGGACGGCCGTGACCCTGCTGGAGTGCAGGGGGGACCTCCAGCCCCCCGGAGGGTCCCTGCGCCTCCTCTGCAGAGGCTCCGAGTTTAATTTCGGGAGTTTTTCCATGTTCTGGGTCCGCCAGAGACCTGGGCAGGGGCTGGAACTTGTGGCAGGGATCAAGGACAATGGTGGCAGCATCGTCTACGTGCCATCGTTCAAGGGCCGGTTCAGGATCTCCAGGGACAACCGGCAGAGCTCGGTGACGCTGACCATGAACAACCTCAAGCACGAGGATTCCGGATCCTATTTCTGTGCCAGATGGGTTGATGGTGGTTGTGCCAATAGTGATGGTACTGTTGGTGTGGCATTTATTGCTGGTTCTGATCTTGGTCCCAAATCCCTCCACTTTGTTCCCAAATATCCCCTGGTCCTCTGATCTCTCCACCAAATCTCAGCCCTTTTCATCAAATCTCGGCCATTTTACCCCAAACTCCGCCCCTGCTGCCCCAACTCCCGAATTTCTCCCAGTTTTTCCCATTCTACCCAAATCTCCCCAGCTCCCAAGACCTGGTTGCAGCAGGCCTGAACTGGAGCCCAGGGGTGAAGGTTTGGGGCCAATGGTTGAGTTTTGGGGCAGGAGCAGGGGAGGGTTTGGAGTCAGTGCTGACCATTGGGGGAAATGGGGACAAAGGGTCAAGGGCTGGGTCAATGGTGAGGTTTGGGATGAAAAGCAGAATTCTGGGGACTCAATGGTGGGAGTGGGATGAAAGGCAGGAGCTTGAGACCATCCTGGGCATCGTCACCATTAGCAGCAGCACCATAACCATCAGCAGCCCTGGCACAGAAATAGGATCCGGAATCCTCGACCTTGAGGTTGTTCATGGTCAGCGTCACCGAGCTCTGCCTGTTGTCCTGGGAGATCGTGAACCGGCCCTTGACCGATGGCACGTAGTAAGTGGCTCCACCAATGTTTATGTACGCCACGAATTCCAGCCCCTGCCCGGGTCTCTGGCGCACCCAGTTCATGTCAAAAGTGCCGAAACTGAACCCGGACCCTCAGCAGAGGGGATGGATTGGCTGTGCGGTGAAAGTTGGCACTGCAAGTCCAGAAAAAGAGTGTGGGATCCACCCGGGATGACTGGCAGGAGTTGCAGGAGGAAGATGGTGAGGTCCAAGGGTCCCAATTTTTGGGCAATATCAGATCAGGATCTGCATGCAAGAATCAACATTTGGGTGGATGTTTTCCTTCATCCCCATCTCCCCTTTGTCCCGTGGGGCTCTGGGCGGCTGTGACCCTGCTGGAGTGCGGAGGGGACCTCCAGCCCCCCGGGGGGTACCTGTGCCTCTTCTGCCGAGCGTCCGGGTTCAGTTTCGGGATTGTTGACATGTTCTGGATCCGCCAGAGACCCGGGCAGGGGTTGCAATATGTCGCAAGGATCTACGACACTGGAGGTTACACCGACTACGCACCGTCGGTGAAGGGGCGTTTCAGGATCTCCAGGGACAACGGGCAGAGCTCGGTGACTCTGACCATGAACAACCTCAAGGACGAGGATTCCGCCACCTATTTTTGTGCCAAATTTTACAGTAGTAGTTGTGGTGGTGGTGGTGCTGGTTATGGTGTTGATGGTGGTTTTGGTCCAAAGTCCTCTCCTCTCTGTTCCCAAATATCTCAGAATTCTCCTATGCTTCCCTAAAATCCGCACCCCTGTTTCTCAAATCTTGACCATTTCCCCCTAAAGTCCACCGCTGCCCCAGCTTTTGGTTTCCCCCAATTTTGCCCATTTCTCCCCAATCTCCTCCAGTTCCCCTCCGTCCCAGTGTGGAACCGGGATCGCTCCAGGGCCCTTTGCACACAAAGCTTTTTGTGCAGCCGGCGCTCTGCCGCAGCGTCCAGAGGCTGAGCTGCCCTCTGCCAAACACAGATGTTCACAATGACCAAAACCAGGAACTTTCTGTTTCCTTTCCTGCCCCGGCCGGGCCCCGGCAGCTGCCACGGAGGAAGTGGGGGGAGGCTGCGGAGCCCCAAAATCGCGGCGTCTGCTCCTCTCTCCCTCCCTCCCTTTCTCCCACGTGGGGCTTCACTTCTCCCTTTAGCGGCCTCGGTGTCTGGGGCTGTTCTTTGGGGCTGGGCTGGAATCCTCTCTGGGAGGTATGGAGAAAAAACCCTATTTTTTTTACGCAAAAACACAGAAAATTTTAGGGAAATTGAATTTTTAAAATTGATCTCGAGCCAAGGGCTCCATGCTGAGAGAAGCAGGTGGGTCTAAGGGTGGAGTCACCTGAAACGTTCCATGCGTCAAGGGCAGGGTCAGAATGGCCAAGGAGAGCTCAGGAGCCAAAATGGCCCCGAGTGGGCCCCGAGCTGAGGTGTGGGGCCAGGAGCTGAGAATGTGGGGCAGAGCCAGGGCCGGGTTGGGGCACGGGGACAGGAATGGGGTCAGGGGCTGGGGATTGGGGAAGGGTCTGGGACAGGTGAGGGCAAGTGGTGACACAGCGATGGGGGCGGGGACAATAACATAGGCATAATTATCAGCAGCAGTAGCACCAGCACCCTTGGCACAGAAATAGGATCCGGAATCCTCGTCCTTGAGGTTTTTCACGGTCAGCGTCACTGAGCTCTGTCCGTTGTCCCTGGAGATCCTGAACCGGCCCTTGACCGATGGCGCATAGTCGGTGTAAGCACCATTGCTGCTGATCCCTGAAAGCCATTCCAGCACCTGCCCAGGTCTCTGGCGCACCCACTGCTGGCCAAAACTCCCGAAACTGAACCCGGACCCTCGGCAGAGGAGGCACAGAGAGCCCCCCCGGGGCCTGGAGGTCCTCCCCGCAATCCAGCAGGGTCACGCCCTCCCGGAGCCCTGCAGGAAAAAGGGGAGATGATGGAAATCATAAACCTGATTGGTTGAGGACCTCAAAGTGGGCGGGGCCTGCTGAAAAATGGAACAGGACCCACCTGGGAGGAGGGTGATGAACTCCAAGGGTCCCAGTTTAGGGCCAAGAGTCAGGATTGGGGTCAAGGGTTGAGCTTTGGCCTCATCCCCATCTCCCCTTTGTCCTGCAGGGCTCCGGGCGGCCATGACCCTGCTGGAGTGCGGGGGGCACCTCCAGCCCCCCGGGGGGTCCCTGCGCCTCCTCTGCCGGGGGTCCGGGTTACGTTTTGGACAATTTGGGGCAGGCTGGATCCGTCAGAGACCCGGCCAGGGGCTGGAATGGCTTGCGGGGATCACTAACACTGGTGGAAACATCGGCTACGCGCCATCGGTCAAGGGCCGGTTCAGGATCTCCAGGGACAACGGGCAGAACTGGGTGATGCTGACCATGAACAACCTCAAGGACGAGGATTCCGGATCCTATTTCTGTGCCAGGGCTTTTTGTGCTGGTTGTTGGGCTGTTGCTTGTCATGGTGACAATGCTGTTGATAGCGTCAAACTGCTAGTTTTTGCTCCTGTCCAATCATTGGATCTCCAAATTTTCGATTTTTGTCCCAAACCTCACCTCTTGTCTCAGATCTTGACCCTTTCTCCCCATTTCCATCAATGGTCAACACTGACCCCAAACTCTCGCCTGTTTCTGGCCTAAAACTCAACCACTGGCCCCAAACCATCACCCTGACCCTTTGTCCCAGCCTTGCCCATTTTGCCTCAGCGCTGCGCATTGGCCCCAAACCCTGCCCTGGGTGTGGGCCCAAATTCAACTCTCGGTCCCAAATCTGATCTTTGACCCCCGAAAGATCCCAAAGGGCCGAGATTTGAGGCTAAATTTGGCAAATTTTGGCAACAACTCAGTTTGGTTTGGGGCAGAACCAGTCGTGGTTTGGGGTCTTTGGTCACCCTGGGTGGAAATGGGGGAGACGTTGGACAAACGGTCAAGGGCGGAGATTTCGGAGAAGGACCTGGGCTTTGGGGACAGAATGAGATATTGAGATGGGGGTGGATCCACCTCAGGCGACTTCATAATTAGCACCAGTATTGCAAATATCACCAGCAGATTTGGCACAGAAATAGGATCTGGAATCCTCGTCCTTGAGGCTGTACATGGCCAGCGTCACCGAGCTCTGCCCGTTGTCCCTGGAGTTCGCGACCCGGCCCTTGAACGATGGCACGTACTCTGTGTTGGCACCACTGCTCCAGATCCCCGCGACCCATTCCAGCCCCTGCCCGGGTCTCTGTCGGAGCCATTGCAGGGCAACACTCCCGAAACTGAACCCGGACCCTCGGCAGAGGAGGTGCAGGGACCCCCCGGGGGGCTGGAGGTCCCCCCCGCACTCCAGCAGGGTCACGGCCGCTCCCCCATCCCCAAACCTTCTCTGGTTTGCCCCAAACTCCCTTTGTCTGGCCTCAAATATCTAACAGAGGTTCCTTATATTTTAACTTATGTTAAACCCAGCAATTACCCCCGGTCCATCCAATAATTAATTGGACACCTCCACCTGAGTTTTGCATCTCATCATCCCCATCTCCCCTTTGTCCCGCATGGCTCCGGGCGGCCGTGACCCTGCTGTAGTGCGGGGGGCACATCCAGCCCCCCGGGGGGTCCCTGCGCCTCCTCTGCCGAGGGTCCGGGTTCAATTTTTGGAATTTTGAAATGTTCTGGGTGCGTCAGAGACCGGGGCAGGGGCTGGAGTGGCTCGCGGGGATCAGCAGCAGTGGTGGCAGCACCTGGTACGGGCCATCGGTGCAGGGCCGGTTCACGATCTCCAGGGACAACGGGCAGAGCTTGGTGACGCTGACCATGAACAATGTCAAGGACGAGGATTCCGCCACCTATTTCTGTGCCAAATCTGCTTATGTTGGTGGTGATGATGCTGCTGCTTATATTGACCTTGCCGGTGGTCACACCACCAGTTGTGAGCCGTTCCTGTCCCCAGTCCCCAGACCCTTCCCCAAATCACAGCTCTTGACCCCATTCCTGAGCCTTTCCCCCAGATCTCCCCCATTTCCAGCAACACCAACCACGAAGCCACAAAGCCCTTACTGGTTCTGCCCCAAACCAAAGTAAGTTGGCAGCAAAATTCGCCCCAAATCTCCCTGATGTCCTCAAATCTCCTCCAGCTCCCTGGGCCCTCATTGGAGGAGGCCTGAACTGCAGGCCAGGGGTGAAGGTTTGGGGCAAATGGTTGAGTTTTGGGGAAGGAGCAGGGGAGGGTTTGGGGTCAGTGGTGACCATTGGGGCAAATGGGGACAAAGGGTCAAGGGCTGGGTCAAGAGGTGAGATTTGGGACGAAAATCAGAACTCTTGGGACTCAGTGCTGGGAGTCGTATCGGAACCAGGAGCTGGAGGCCATAACGGCCATCGTCAACATAACCAGCACTAGGAACACGACCAGAGCACGAAGCTTTCCCACAGAAATAGGATCCGGAATCCTCGTCCTTGAGGTTGTTCATGGTCAGCGTCACCGAGCTCTGCCCGTTGTCCCCAGAGATCCTGAACCGGCCCTGCACCGAATCCGCGTAGTCGGTACTGCCACCTTTGCTGATCTGTGCAATTAATTCCAGCCCCTGCCCGGGTCTCTGTCGATACCAGCCCATCCCAAAACTGTCAAAATTGAACCCGGACCCTCGGCAGAGGAGGCGCAGGGATCCCCTGGGGGGCTGGAGGCCCCCCCCGCACTCCAGCAGGGTCACGGCCCCTCCCCCATCCCCAAACCTTCACTGGCTTTGTCCCAAATTCCATTTGTCTGGCCCCAAATCTCCAAGAGAGATGCCCAGTATTATACAGTGCCTTCAAGCCTCCAATTGACCCCAATCCACCCATTAATTAATTGGATGCAAAACTCTGCCTGAGTTTTGCATCGCCTCATCCCCATCTCCCCTTTGTCCCGCAGGGCTCCGGGCGGCCGTGACCCTGCTGGAGTGTGGGGGGGACCTCCAGCCCCCCGGGGGGTCCTTGACGTTGCTGTGCCGAGGGGCCGGGTTTGATTTTGGCAATTTTGGGATGGCCTGGATCTGCCAGAGACCCGGGCAGGGGCTGCAGTGGGTCGGAACCATCACCAGCAGTGGTGGCAGCACCTGGTACGCGGATTCCGTCAAGGGCCGGTTCACGACCTCCAGGGACAACGGGCAGAGCTCGGTGATGCTGACCATGAACAACCTCAAGGACGAGGATTCTGGATCCTATTTCTGTGCCAAGGACACCGATGGTCACGGTGCTTATGCTGATGCTGGCTGGGGAGGATGGAACAGCAAAGCCTTATCAATGTGATTGCCTGGCAAAAGATTTTGAGAATATGGAAACCATCAGCAAGATTGAAATGAAAGCAAGCTTTGAGATCCCTCAGTGACTGAACAACTGGAAAACAACGGTGTGGCCGGCTGAAGGTAATCCCATTTTGATGGAACAACACCCTCTGCCTGCAGGCAGGCCCAAGGGTCAGAGCAGACCCCACAGCTTGGCAGAAGGGGCCAAAGAGGAGTTTTTAGGGTTTAAAGTAACTCCAAAGAGGAGTTTTTAGGGTTTAAAATGTAACAAAGTGTAGTAATGTAATGACTCTTATAGGCTGGATGAAATGCTATAGCATTTGTATATTGTACTAGATTGGTTAGTGAGAATTAGAATATTCAACACAGAAGATGATTTATTGCATGGTGATGGGAATCTCACTTTCTCATGCTCTTTTTCTCTAACAGTTTTATGCTCTTACCCTTTTATTCACTCACTTTTTCACTCTCTTACCCTTTTTATTCTCTCACGCTTTTTACTCTCTGACCTTTTTAATCTCTTACTCTCTTCCTCTTTTACCGCCTCACCCTTTCTCCCCCTCTCCCCTCTCTTCTTTTAGCCCTGCTCCAGCTGTGCCTGGCAGCTCCCAGCAGGGCCCTGCAGTTCGTCCTTTGCAATAAACCCAAAATTCCAGACCTGGCTGCAGAGATCTCTTGTGTCCATCTGTGTGCCCTGGCCGTCCTGCGCCCGGATGCTCCTTCAAGGCTGGTTTGGGATGGGGCCATGCCCGGCACGTCAATAGCACCATCATCAGAACTACAACCACCAGTGTAAGCACATTTCCCACAGAAATAGGATCCGGAATCCTCGTCCTTGAGGTTGTTCATGGTCAGCATCACCGAGCTCTGCCCGTTGTCCCTGGAGATCGTGACCCGGCCCTTGACTGAAGCTCCATAGTAGGCTCTGCCACTGCTGTAGATCCCTGCGAGACATTCCAGCCCCTGCCTGGGCCTCTGGCGCACCCAATACATGGTGACACTGCCGAAACTGAACCCGGCCCCTTGGCAGAGGAGGCGCAGGGACCCCCCGGGGGGCTGGAGGTCCCCCTCGCACTCCAGCAGGGTCACGGCTGCTTCCCCATCCCCAAACCTTCACCAGTTGTCCCCAAATTCCCTTTATCTGACCCCAATCCTCCAACAGAGGACTCCAGTATTGTAAAGTGCCTTCAACCAAGAAATTAATCTCGATCCACCCATTAATTAATTTGACAGCTCCACCCGACTTTTGCATCGCCCCGTGCCCATCTCCCCTTTTTCCCGCAGTGTTCAAGGCGGCCGTGACCCTGCTGGAGTGCCGGGGAGAACTCCAGCCCCCCGGGGGGTCCCTGCGCCTCCTCTGCCGAGGGTCCGGGTTCAATTTTGGCAGTTTTGGGATGGGCTGGCATCGCCAGAGACCTGGGCAGGGGCTGGAGCCAGTCGCCAGTATCAGCAGCAGTGGCAGCACCTACTATGCAGATTCGGTCAGGGGCCGGTTTACGATCTCCAGGGACAATGGGCAGAGCTCGGTGACGCTGACCATGAACAACCTCAAGGACGAGGATTCCGGATCCTATTTCTGTGCCAAATCTTACAGCACTGGTAGCGCTGCTGCTGCTGCTGCTTATACTGACCGTGCCGGTGGTGGCATCGCCATTTCTGAGCCCCTCCTCTTCCCAAATCTCAGACCCTTCCTCCAAATCTCAGCCCTTGACCCCATTTATGACCCTTTGTCCCAGATCTCTCCCATTTCCAACACCACCAACCACGGAGCCAAAACCTGCGAAGTGCTTCTGCCCCAAACCCAACTAAGTTGGCACCAGAAATCGCCCGAATCTGCCCAAAATCCCGACTTGGGCTCCCTGAAGCAGGAGCCTCTGACCGAATTCTCAACCTTTGCCTCCAAATCGGGACCCTGGGCCTCAAACCCCGACCTTCAGAGCAAAGTTGTGGGGCACAAAGAGGAGATTTGGGGTCAGGAGTTGTGGTTTGGGGTCAGCGGGTGAGAATTGGGGCCGAGGTAGAGCAAGGTTGGGATGAATGGTCAAGGGCTGGGTGTGGGCTGGGGGTTTGGGGGTAGGGTCTGGGGAACGGGGACAGGGCGGGGATAAGGGGATGGGGATGGGGACACCATGGACAACGTAACTACGAGCAGCATGTTCGGGGTAATTATTAGCAGCACACTTGGCGTAGAACTAAACAGTGGAATCCTCGTCCTTGAGGTTGTTCATGGTCAGCATCACCGAGCTCTGCCCGTTGTCCCTGGAGATCGTGAACCGGCCCTTGACCGACGGCGCGTAGAAGGTGTTGGCACTATTGAAGTAGATGCCTGCGATGTATTACAAAGCCTGCCCGGGTCTCTGGCGGATCCAGTACATTCCATAATCCCCAAAACTGAACCCGGACCCTCGGCAGAGGAGGCGCAGGGACCCTCTGGGGGGCTGGAGGTCCCCCCCGCACTCCAGCAGGGTCACGGCCGCCTGGAGCCCTGCGGGACAAAGGGGAGATGGGGATCAGAAACCTGATTGGTGAAGAGTGCCCAAGTTGGCATAGCACGCTTGAAAAAGTGGTGGGACACACGTGAGAGGAGGATGATGAACTCCAGGGGTTAGAATTTTGGGCCAATAGTCAGGATATGGGTCAAGGTTTGAGCTTTGGCCTCATCCCCATCTTCCCTTTGTCCCGCAGAGCTCTGGGCGGCCGTGACCCTGCTGGAGTACGGGGGGGACCACCAGCCCCGCGGGGGGTCACTGCACCTCCTCTGCCGAGGGTCCGGGTTTGATTTCGGCAACTCTGACATGCTCTGGATCCGCCAGAGACCCGGGCAAGGGCTGGAATGGGTTGGAAGTAACAGCAGTCGTGGTGGCAGCACCTACTACACGCCGTCCGTCAAGGGCCGATTCACGATCTCCAGGGACAACGGGCAGAGCTCGGTGACGCTGACCATGAACATCCTCAAGGACGAGGATTCCGGATCCTATTTCTGTGCCAAAGCTGCCTATAATAATTGGGGTGCTGCTGCTGGTGTGGATGGTGTTCACCTCATCCCCATCCCTGTGTCCCCACCTGTCCCCATTCTTCAACCCCTTCCCCACACCCCAGCCCCTGACCCCATTCCTTTCCCCGTGTCCAAGCTCTGAACTGGCTCTGCCCCACATTTTCAGGTCTTGGCCCCAAACCTCAGCTCTGGGCTCCAAGTCTCAGCCTAGGTCTCCAAACCTGGATGCAAATGGTCGAGATTTGGGGAAAATGGGCCATATTTGGTGTGTGTCTGTGACTCAGGTCCACCACTGAAATTCTGGGCTAGAACAGAGATGGGGATGAGGACAAAGCTCAACCCTTGACCCAAACCCCGACTTTTAGCCCCAAATTTTGACACTTCTGCCGCCATATCCTCCTCCTGGCTGCCCTCTCAAGTGGGTCCTGCCCCTTTTTTCTGCAACCCATGCCCCTTTTCCCCTTCTGGACCAATCAGATTCCTTGTTTCCACCATCTCCCCTTTCTCCCGCAGGGCTCCGGTTGGCTGTGACCCTGCTGGAGTGCAGGGGGGACCTCTAGCCCCCCGGGGGGTCCCTGCGCCTCCTCTACCGAGGGTCCGGGTTCCATTTTGGGAGTTTTGCCATGAACTGGGTCTGCCAGAGACCCGGGCAGGGGCTGGAATGGGTGGCATGGATCACCAGCAGAGGTGGCACTAGCTACGTGCTGTCGGTCAAGGGCCGGTTCACGATCTCCCAGGACAACGGGCAGAGCTCGGTGACGCTGACCATGAACAACCTAAAGGTCGTGGATTCCGGATCCTATTTCTGTGCCAGAAAGGCTGGTTCCAGTTCTGGTGCTGGTTCTGATGGTTTTGACCCTGTCCCATCACCGCATCCCCACCTCTCCCCATTCCCCAGGTCGTTCTCTCCCGCCCTTGACCCCATTGTTGAGCCCCACGGACCAAAATCTGGCCCATTTTCCCCAAATCTCAACCATGTGCACCCAGGTTTGGGGACCTTGGTTGAGCCTCAGAGCCAAGAGCTAAGATTTGGGACAGAACGAGCTCAGAGCTGGGACACCGGGGACCGGAATGGGGTCAGGGGCTGGGGATTGGTGGAAGGGTCTGGGGAACGGGGACAGGTGGGGACACAGGCATGGGAAAGGGGTCAAAACCATAAACAGCTGCTTGAGCATATTTTCCTTCTGGAGCTTTCCCACAGAAATAGGCGGCGGAATCCTCATCCTTGAGGTTGTTCATAGTCAGCGTCACCGAGCTCTGCCCGTTGTCCCTGGAGATCCTGAACCTACCCTTAAACGTATCCCATTAGTAGGTGTCTCCATCGTAGTCAATGCGCGCAACCCCTTCTAGCCCCAGCCCAGGCTGTTGGCGAACCCAAATAAAACTGGTTTGTCCAAAACTGAACCCGGACCCTCGGCAGAGGAGGCGCAGGGATCCCCCGGGGGGCTGGAGGTTTCCCCCGCACTCCAGCAGGGTCACGACTGCCCGGAGTCCTGTGGGACAAAGGGGAGATGGGGGTGAGTAGATGCAAAAGTCAGGCAGAGCTGTCAGAAAAATTAATGGGTGGATTGGGGCTAATTGCAGGGGTGAAGGCACTTTACCATTCAGGACACCTCTGTTGGATGTCTGGGGACAAACAAAGGGAATTGGTGGCGAAACCACCAAAGGTTTGGGGATTGGGGAGCGGCCGTGACCCAGCTTGAGTGCGGGGGGAAACTCCACCCCCCCTCTACCAAGGGTCCGGGTTCAGTTTTGGCAGTTCCACCATGTACTGGATCCATCAGAGACCACGACAGGCGCTGGAGTTGCTGGCGGGGATCACCAGTGGTGGCACCACCGCCTACACGTCGTCTGTCAAGGGCCGGATCACGATCTCCAGGGACAACGGGCAGAGCTCGCTGACGCTGACCATGAACAACCTCAAGGACGAGGATTCCGGATCCTATTTCTGTGCCAAATCAGTTAAGGATGGCACTGGCTGGGAGACTGTTGCCTATCGTGTTGACCCCATGTCCTTTAGCAGAGTCTACAGAGATTGCGAGAGCTCCATGCAGGATTGAGACGTAACAGCTGGAACTGCTCAGCCATGATGGGACAGCAAAATGATCTCCTGTCTTCTACCTCTTACACTAGAGCTTATCTCTGTTACCCCATTGGTGACTTCTCCCTGACCCTCACTGTTGCACACGTTTGGATCCCCCTGTACCCTATAAAAAGGGGCTGGTTTAGCCCATCTGACAGGAGAAGAGCTGTCGCTGGAACCCCTCACAGATCCCCCAATGAACCATGGCTGTGGAACCACCATGACCTCTCCTGCTCCTCTCTGTCCGTCTGTTTCTGACCCAGCCAAAGGCGCCCCAACGAGTGAGCAAAGAGGCTGAATCCTGAGAGCTGAGAATCACGAAAGAGCTGAAATCCTGAGAGAGTTGATAATCACGAAAGGGCTGAAATCACTTAATAGCTGAAATCCTGAGGGAGCTGAGAATCCCTAAAGAGCTGAAATCACTGAGCTTTCTGAGATGGTGGCATCTCTGAGCTGATTGGGTGTTGGGGCTCTCTGTCTCCAAGATTTGTGCAGATTGGCCTGCATGGCTCGGGGATCAGGCCAAATCAGATATCTGGGTCTTATCAGGGTTGGGACACGGGGACAAGAACGGGGTCAGGGCTTGGGTTTTGTGGGAAGGGCCTGGGGAATGGGGACAGGAGGGGAGCAAGGGCACAGGGATGGGGACAAAATGATAAGCAACAGCATAAGCCCAATTGTCACCATAAGCACGTTTGGCACAGAAATAAACGGCGGAATCCTCGTCCTTGAGGTTGTTCATGGTCAGCGTCACCGAGCTCTGCCCGTTGTCCCTGGAGATCGTGAACCGGCCCTTGACTGATGGCACATAGTAGGTGTAAGCACCAACGTACCTGATCCCCACGACCCATTCCAGCTCCTGCCCGGGCCTCTGTTGAGCCCATTCCATTTCAAAACTCCCGAAACTGAACCCGGACCCTCGGCAGAGGAGGCGCAGGGACCCCCTGGGGGGCTGGAGGTCCCCCCCGCACTTCAGCAGGGTCACGGCCGCCCGGAGCCCCGCGGGAAAATGGGGAAATGATGGAAATGAGAAACCTGATTGGTCAAGGGCCCCTAAGTTGGTGTGGCCAGCTGGACAAAGGGGTGGAATCCACCTGGGAGGAGGATGATGAACTCTAAAGATCCCAGTTTGGGGCCAAGGGTCAGGATTTGGGTCAAAGTTTGAGCTTTGGCCTCATCCCCATCTCCCCTTTGTCCCTCAGGGCTCCGGGCGGCCGTGACCCTTCTGGAGTGCGGGGGGGACCTCCAGCCCCCCGGGGGGTCCCTGCGCCTCCTCGGCCGAGGGTCCGGGTTCAGTTTTGGGAGTGCTGCCATGCAATAGGCGCCAGAGACCTGGGCAGGGGCTGGAGTGGCTCGCAGCGAACCACAGCAGTGGCAACACGAGTACGTGCCATCAGTCCAAGGCCGGTTCAGGATCTCCAGCGACAACGGGCAGAGCTCGGTGACGCTGACCATGAACAACCTCAAGGTCGAGGATTCCGGATCCTATTTCTGCGCCAAATCTGCTGGTGATAATTGCAATCCTGGTGCTTATTATGAAGACTCCTGAGGTGGATCCACCCCCATCTCAGAGTCCCCTCCTGTCCTCAATCCCCAGGTCCTTCTCCCAAATCGCCGGCCCTTGACCGTTTGTCCAACATCTGCCCCATTTCCACCCATGGTGACCAAAGAGCCCAAACCCCGACTGGTTCTGCATCAAACCCAACTGAGTTGTTACTAAAATTTGCCCCCTTTCACCCCAAATCTGGACCCTTTGGGCATTTCTAGGGGACGAGGGGGAGATTTGGGGCCAAGACTTGAGTTTGGGGCCAGGCCCAGGGCAGGGTTTGGGGCCAATGGGCAGCGTTGGGGCAAAGGGGGCAGGGTTGGGACAAAGGGTCAGGGTGAAGGTTTGGGGCCAATGGTTGAGTCTTGGGGCAGAAACAGGTGAGGGTTTGGTGTCAGTGCTGACCATTGATGCAAATAGGGACAAAGGGTCAAGGTCTGAGACAAGAGGTGAGGTTTGGGATGAAAATCGAAAATTTGGAGATCCAATGATGGGACAGGAGCAAAATCTAGAAGTTTGACGCTATCAACAGCATTGTCACCATGATTAGCAGTAGCCCAATAACCAGCACAAAAAGCCCTGGCACAGAAATAGGATCCGGAACCCTCGTCCTTGAGGTTGTTCATGGTCGGCGTCACCGAGGTCTGCCCGTTGTCTTTGGAGATCGTGAACGGGCCCTTGACCGATGGCGCATAGCCGATGTTTCCACCAGTGTTGGTGATCCCGGCGAGCCATTCCAGCCCCTGCCCGGGTCTCTGCAAATACCAGCCAATCCCAAAACTGCCGAAACTGAACCCGGACCCTCAGCAGAAGAGGCGCAGGGACCCCCCGGGGGGCTGGAGGTCTCCCCGCACTCCAGCAGGGTCACGGCCGCCCGGAGCCCTTCCCCAAATCTTCACCAATTTCACTCAGAACTCCTCTGCTTCGGTCCCAAATCTCCACCAGATTTTTTGGCTATCCTTTAGTTCCTCAAAAGCTGGAATTAAACTCAATATTCTCATTAATTAATTGAGCACCTTCTCCTCAGGTATCCACATTGATTTGAAAAGTAATACCACGTTAACAACGCCAAAACCCCCGGGACCCAAACCCCAGCACCTCCCGGCCGTGGCCTTGAGCTCCCTCCGGCTCCAGGCCCTGCTGCCCCTCTCAGGTGGGCTCCGCCCCTTTTTTCTGGAACACACGCACCTTTTCCCCTTCTAGACCAATCATATTTCTCATTTTTAATTATCTCCCCTTTGTCCCGCAGGGTTCCGGGCGGCCGTGACCCTACTGGAGTGCGGGGGGGACCTCCAGCCCCCCGGGAGGTCCCTGCACCTCCTCTGCCGAGGGGCCGGGTTCGGTTTCGGGAATGTGAACATGTACTGGGTCCGCCAGAGACCTGGACAGGGGCTGGAGTTCGTGGCAGAGATCAGCTACGAACTTTCCAGAACCTACTACGCCCCATTGGTCAAGGGCCGGTTCACGATCTCCAGGGACAACGGCCAGAGCTCGGTGACGCTGACCATGAACAACCTCAAGGACGAGGATTCCGGATCCTATTTCTGCGGGAAATCTGCCTATAACAATTGGGGTACTGGTGCTGTTACTGATGGTTTTGGTCTGGACCCTGTGGCCGTGTCCCGAACGGCTCCAAAATCCAAGACCCTTCCCTAAAACCCAAACACTTTTGCCCATTCCTGACTCTGTCCCAACCCTGGAGTGGTTCTTCCCCAATTTCTCCATACCTGGCAAGAAAGTTGACCCAAGTCTTAACCTTGGCCTTAAATCTCCACTTTTAATTCAAAGTTTGGGACACAAAGAGGAGATTTGGGGTCAGGAGTTGTGGTTTGGAGTCAGCGGGTGAGAATTCGGGCTGAGGCAGAGCAAGGTTGGGATCATTGGTCAAGGGCTGGGTGTGGGCTGGGGGTTTGGGGAAGCATCTGGGGAATGGAGACGGGGGGGGGGACACGGGGATAGAGATGGCACCGACATCAATACGAGCAGAAGCAGTGTTGTAGGATTTGGCACAGAAATAGACGGCGTAATCCTCGTCCTTGAGGTTGTTCATGGTCAGCGTCACCGAGCTCTGCCCGTTGTCCCTGGAGATCCTGAACTGACCCTGCACCGATGGCGCGTAGCCAATGTTTCCACCAGTGTTAGTGATCCCCGCGAGCCATTCCAGTCCCTGCCCGGGTCTCTGGCGAACCCAATCCATTCCAAAACTCCCAAAACTGAACCCGGACCCTCAGCAGAGGAGGCGCAGGGACCCCCCGGGGGGCTGGAAGTCCCCCTCGCAATCCAGCAGTTTCACGGCTACCCGGAGCCATGCGGGACAAAGGGGAGATGGGGATGAGGCCAAAGCTCAACCACTGACCCAAATCATGACTCTGGGCCCCAAATTGTGAACACTTTGTCCTTCTCCTCCTGATCCTGGTCACCCTCGAGAATGGATCCCATCCTTTTTTGCAACTGGCCTGGATGACTTGGGCACTCTTGACCAATCAGGTTTCCCATCCCCATCTCCCCTTTGTCCCGCAGGGCTCCGGGCTGTAGTGACCCTGCTGGAGTGTGGGGGGGACATCCAGCCCCCCGGGGGGTCCCTGCGCCTCCTCTGCCGAGGGTCCGTGTTCCATTTCAGGAGTTTCACCATGTTCTGGATCCGCCAGAGACCCGGGCAGGGGCTGGAATGAGTGGCAGCGATCTGGAGCGATGGTGGCACCATTTACGCCTCATCAGTCCAGGGCCGGTTCAGGATCTCCAGGGACAACAGGCAGAGCTGGGTGACGCTGACCATGAACAACATCAAAGACGAGGATTCCGGATCCTATTTCTGTGACAAATGTTTTGATGCTGGTTGCTATGATGGTGCTGCTGGTGCTGAACGTTTTGAGCCCATCCCCATCCCTGTGTCCCCCCCCGTCCCCGTTCCCCAGACCCTTCACCCAGACCCCCAGCCCACACCCAGCCCTTGACCATTGATCCCAACCTTGCTCTTCCTCGGCCCCAATTCTCATCCGCTGACCCCAAACCACAGCTCCTGACCTCAAATCTCCTCTTTATGCCCCAAAACTTTGCCCCGAAAGTTGGGGTTTTGGGCCCAGGGTCCTGATTTTGGTCAGAATTTGGGATTCGTGTCAGCAGCTGTGGCTGGGAGCACAAAGTGGGGTTTTGGGGCAGAATTTTGCAATTTTCGTGCAAACTTATTTGGGTTTGCGGCAGAACCAGTTGGGGGGTTTTGCCTCCGTGGTTGGCGTTGTTAGAACTGGGGGAGATCTGGGACCAAGGGTGAGGAATGGGGTCAAGGGCTGAGATTTGGGGGAAGGGTCTGAAGAGTGGGGACAGAAGGGGACCCAGTCAAGGGGAAGGGGCCAAGGGCAGAGACATCATTACCCCAACTGCCACCAGAACCCTTGGCAAAGAAATAGGATCCGGAATCCTCGTCCTTGAGGTTGTTCATGGTCAGCGTCACCGAACTCTGCCTGTTGTCCCTGGAGATCATGAACTGGCCCTTGACTGAACCCGCGTACTGGGTGTAACCACCACTGTTGATCCCCGCGAGTCACTGCAGCCCCTGCCCGGGTATCTGGTGGATCCAGAACATTCCAAAACTCCCAAAATCGAACCCGGACCCTCGGCACAGCAACGTCAGGGACCCCCCGGGGGGCTGGAGGTCACCCCCGCACTCCAGCAGGGTCACGGCCGCCCGGAGCCCTGCGGGTCAAAGGGGAGATGAATAAAAATGAGAAATATGATTGGT